TGATATTGATCTTAAATACAAGCCAGGAAAACAATTGATAATAGCAGATATGCTATCGCGAGCTTATATCGATGATACAGGTGATGATAATTTTGATATTGAACTTCAAGCTCAGGTTTGTCTTATAACTTCACAGATAAATATAACAGATTCTAAAAATCAAGAAATTAGAAATGAAACTAATCAAGACCGTCAATTGTCAGAGTTAAAGAAAATTATTATGAATGGATGGCCTAATAATAGCAAAAAATTGAATGAATTCACGACCCCTTATTACAAATATAGAAGCGAGCTCACTATTATTGAAGATTTAATTTATAAAGGACAACAGTTGGTGATTCCTCAAAGTATGAGAAGAGAAATGTTGAACAAAATTCATTACAATCATTTGGGTACAAAGAAATGTTTGAAATTAGCAACTGATTCTGTTTTTTGGCCGAACATAACTAATGATGTCAAACAATTCATAGATAGCTGTTTCATTTGTCAAAAATACTCCAACTCTCAATTATCAGAGCCTCTCATATCTCATGAAATACCAAGGCTTCCTTGGAACAAAGTTGGGTGTGACATTTTTGAATTGAAAAATGAAAAATATTTATTATTGATAGATTATTATTCTAAATTTGTAGAAATAGAGAAATTGCCACGAGATATTAGTAGTAACTGCATAATAACAAAAATAAAATCTATTTTCGCTAGGCATGGTATTCCACAGATTCTTGTATCTGATGGAGGTCCCCAGTTTTCTTCAAATCAATTCAAATCATTCTCCAAAGAATGGGAATTCGAACATATTTTTAGCTCACCCACTTATCCTCAGTCTAATGGAATGGCTGAAAGACAAGTTCAAAATGCCAAAGCAATTTTTAAAAAAACTTTGGAGGATCAAAAAGATTTGTATCTCGCTATTTTATTGTATCATAATATGCCAATACATGAAAATATTTCTCCATCTCAAATTCTCATGTCTAGAAAATTGAGATCTATACTTCCTTGTACCGAACAAAGTTTGAAGCCTGAGATTATTGACACTGAGAAATATTCCGATTTTTTAGAAAAAACACAAAGAATTCAAAAAATGTATCATGACAAAAAAGGTGTCAGAGAATTACCAAATTTGAATATCAATGATAGAATTTTGGTTCAGTTGACACCAAAAGGTAGTTGGAAACCTGGTATTGTCAAAGATAAGTTCAGATTTCGTTCATACCTTGTAAGGACAGATGATGGTTCAGAGTATGTTCGAAATAGAAAATTCATCAAAGTATTTAATCAAACAAACCATCATGTGTTCAATCCTTCTCCCTCATCACACACAAAATTGGAAGTAGAAGAAAATGAGAATAGAGAAAAATATTTTATAAGAATTAGAGAAGATAATAATGAGAAATGTTTGGATCAAGAGAAAATGAATGAAGAAGAGATAAGCGATGAAACAAGTCAAGATTATGAGGGTGAAAGATTAGATATACAGGCAGATCGTAGTCAGGCAGATCGTAGTAGTGTCACAACTAGAAGTGGCCGAATTGTTAAGCCTCCACATAGATTCGTTACTTCAGAAAATGTTTAAGTATTTGTTGAAAAGGGAGATGTTAGATAATCTAGTTATCTTTTAAAATAAAATATAATGTTAAGTAACTTACTGTACATAACAACGTCAGGCTAGATGACAAGAGATAGATTGTCAATGAATTTTGAATAAAGATAATTTGAATCTATTTAAATATATTATCGTATATCACTTATTAACAGTATGTACCTGTTATTTTCCTATTTTTTCAAGTTTAAAAACTGTACCACTGTCTAACATCTAGTATTTCATCAATGCATTGTCTAAACCGTTAAATTAAATGGTTGTCACATACTGATGAGTGTTTTTTATATAAGTTCATTATTAATAGATTTTCAACTTATTGTGATATTTTCAACTCATATTATGTAAGCAGTTATTGAATATACTTATTACATTATACATATTGTGTCAAGTACAACGATTATTATCTCGTTTTTCAATTGAGAATATAGAGACCTTTCGGAACATGTATGACAACATATTGGTTTCTATTCATTTGGGTTGGGGTATCAATATAACTGCTAATTTTCAATTTTAAAATATGATTCTCAAACATATTTATGTATTTGATTCGGATTTCAAAACCTTTTTGTGATAATAAAGATGGTGGAGAATTTTGTTTACTCTTTAAAATACATTATAATTGTAAGTACAATGATTATTATCTCCTTTTTCAATTAAGAATTTAGAGACCTTTCGGAACATGTATGACAACATGTTGGTTTCTATTCATTTGGGTTTGGGTATCAATATAACTGCTAATTTTAGATTTAAAAATATAATTCTCCAGCATATTTGTGTTTATGATTAGGATATCGAAACCTTTTTGTGATAATAAAGATGGTGGGCAAGTTTTGTCACTCCATAATGTACATTATAATTGTAAGTACAAAGATCATTATTTCATTTTTCAATAATTATTGTACATCACATCAACATTGATGATTTCATAGAATTGCAGAAATATTTGTGTAAAGATCAAGAAGTGATTTGTTGAAATAATACAGGAACCAAATTAATTAGGAGGTATAGAGGTTGCCAAATAGTACAAATATTTCAAAAAAATCGATTCGGTATCTACTTCTCATCTCGCTTCCTATATCTAAATTAAATTGAAACTGAATGGTTAATTTTTGAATAAACACTCAGGAACCCTTCGACTTTCAATCATTGCTGCAGTTTTTTATACAGTAATGCATACAGGGTAGCCCAAAAAGAAGTTACAACAAGGGTTTAATCCAAGAAAAACCACTTGTTTCAATCTACTTACACATGATCTTCTCATAAAAGTTTTGTTACTCGTTAAAGGTGGAAGCAATTAGCGCGGCATGTAGGGCATCAGCTTTTAATTTATGTTAACTAGTGGCGAACATTTCTTGAACAACGACCTTTTTTATCTCATTTAATCGGCCCAGTTTCGTTCGCTGCGAGTCAGCTTCTCGTTAGATATCTCGAATATATCCTTTTATGCCGTCTCGGATCGTTTTTATCGCTTCTGTAGAAAATGAAGCATTTGAATTATCTCCCGAGCAATTTATAGGGAAAGGCCGGGTATCGATTAATTAGTAGCTGCCGTTGATTGGAAATTATTTAAAATCGACGACAAGACGGATTCTTAGCGCGGCGCGAAGAGAAAACCTGCAATACGAGTTGCGAGGCGAACGTAGCTGAATTTGGTAAAACATCCTTCAGGTAGTCTCTTGTTTGATGCTACTCGCGTTTTTTTACGGGGCCAACATTGCAGGAACAGGATTATCAGAAGTGACATACCATCGAATCATTTTTCCTACCTCAGCAGATATAGTGCACTATTTTAGGTCCAATATTATTCTTAGTATACAGGCTGATTCTGTTTCTGGAGAACGCTACTCCGGATTATTCTGAAAAGTTGGTGCCTTAAATAATCAATTGTGTTCTATCGTCCTGAAATATTCTCAGCGTTGCGACGTTGCCACTTATATTGAAAAAAAGCAACAACTTTGATTTTTTAAATGAGACACCCTGTATATTATTCCATTTTCAGATTCCTCCTGAAGAGCTGATTCCATTGACCTATAACACTTGGGGTCTAGCAGTAATAATTACAGAGTTATGGGATGTGGAAAATTAAATTGAGAGTTTTCAACTTTAGGAATTTTTTGTGTCGAAACTATTCATAATTGGTCAATACGCTCTTCATGTCCCTATCCTATCCCAACATTTTGTTCACTATCAATTAATATTTAATTGAAATGAATACAGGGTGGTTCAGAATTAAGATTTTTGACCACCCTGTATCTATTTCAATTAAATATCGATTGATGGTACATGAAAAGTTATGATAAAGCCAGATCGCCAACTTGTCTATGGTGTTCCAGAGAAGTGAGTGAGTTTGTGAGCGAGGCATCCCCACGAGACGAATTGTTCTTTTTTGAACAGAATCCAGTTTCAGGGTATGTTTGGGTGCTGTACTCCAAATATGGGAACAGTATTCCAGTACAGGTCGGATCTGTGCCTTATAGATCATAAGCAGCTGACTGGAAGTGAAATAGCTCCTGGCCCTAAACAGAAAACCAAGTTTTTGGGATGCACTTTTAGCAATTGATCTCACGTTATTTTCCTAAGAATGGTTATTGCTGATAGTAATACCAAGTATCGAAATGGATGTCTTCAAAGGTATGGTTACTCCTGACAAGCTCATGTTGGGCACAGTGAGATCGGATTTTCTAGAGAAAAGGCATGCTTGTGTTTTGTTTGCATTGAAATCTACCAAGTTATTGGATGCCCATTCGATAATTGTTGCCAAGTCCATATTTATGTTGTCAACATTTCTTCCTCGTTCGTTCTGATTTGCCTGGCTGGTATTGGAGCCCTGGAAGAGGAAGTAGTATGGAGGGTACTATCATCCGCGAAGCTGTGTACTGGACATGAAGTTGCTTCCAACAAATCGTTGATATGGAGTAGAAATAGTTGGTGCTAGAATTGATCCTTGCGGAATACCAACATTTATGATAAGAGAGTTAGATGAATCTCCGTCGACCACTACATGAAGAGACCTGTTTAAGAGAAAACTAGTTAGCAGAAAACATAGCTGGGGAGGCAAGCCATAAGATGGAAGCTTGGCGAGGAGTCCATGGTGCCAGACTCGATCGAATGCCTTGGATAGGAGAGGTAAAACCAAGAGCCCAAAATTACACAGGGGATCTGAAAGGTAGCCTATCTAGTCTTATGGAGAAGGCGGGGCTATCCAAATAAGTCTTAACAATTTTGAGGACAGAGACACAATAGATCTGAAAAGGTAGCGGTGTGGAGGCAGATAGCCCGATGGCCCCATTCTAAATTGTAAATCTAAATCTAGCGGAAGGGACATTTTCGTTCTCTGGAAGGAAACCTATTTCCTCCCGGCGGGAGTTCTTTAGTGAGATAGTAGAAAAATGTTATTTACCTGGCATGCAGACGCATCTGAAGGTCCCCGGGTCGTCCAGACAGGATCCGTCGTTGTGGCAGGGATGCGATTCGCACTCGTTGACGTTGGTCTCGCATCTGGGCCCCGTGAAGCCCTGGGTGCAGTTGCACGCGAAGCTGCCCGGAGTGTTCACGCAGATGCCATCATGTTCGCACGGTGAACCTACAGAAAAAAAAAAGTCAAACCAAATTCGAATAATCGAGAATAGAATTCCATAGTGTATTACAATCTAGAATGAAGTTATAGACAAGGAACAAACACCAATTCATTTTCAAAACGTTTACAATTGGTCTTTTTCAGTGAAAAATGGCATTTCATTATTTCGAAGTACTAACCCTCTAGTTATCTGTCGCAAAGCGTTTTTCCTCAGAGCTCTGAACATTTTTTGGATAATTATTGAGATTTCAAGTCAGTACGACAGATATAGGCCCAGAGATTGCTAGGTTCCTCTCCATTTGGCCAACATGTGTTTATCTTGTTTTTTTTTTTCATTACAGAATTTTGTTTATCAACAGTGTCATCATAGTCTCTCGAAATCAATCGAGTGTCTTTTTTTATCCTTCACTCACGAAAAAGGGAAACTATATTATGTTCGAGAATCATCATACGTGCCTAGAGAGGATAGGGATAGAAGTTAAGTATTCGCATTTGAAGGTTAAGTTTTTGACAAATCAATTCAAGATGTTGCCTTTTTATAGACAAAAGAGTTCTGATAGAAAGTGTTTTGATATATTTCGAGGATGATAAAATATACAAGTGGAGTTGGTAGAAAGGGAAGTCATAATCATTTGTATGATAATAGGTGTACTGGATTGATAACGCATCTTTTATGACGTTGCAGTGACGTATCTATGACGTCCAAAAATCACGTCGGTGTGACGTATCAATTTGGTGGGCTTCGTCATTCAGAAAATTCGTCAAGTTTGCCATTCAGATTTTTGTTGGTTGACAACGAAATGCATGAATGTATGTTACTCAACAAAGTGAAGCTAAATTCGCCAACACCATTTACATAACTATCGAACTATTCTTGCTATACTTACATCTAGCCGACACAAACTACATAAAATTTTATACGAATACGAGTAACTGATCTGATTCTGATGGAGATGCATACTAAAGGGTAGCGTAAAATGACATCGGAAGGATCACTAAGCAGCCTTATGCATAGTCAATATTACAGTCATCAGAGGTCAGTAGTATCACACTATTTCGAGGATTTCTTTTACTTCTTATCACCGCAAATTTTAACGTTCTTTTGACATCATTGTGACGTCATTTCGACGTCATAGTTAGGTGAGTGACTGACGTCAATAAACGTGAGTAATATGACGTCATTGGGCTGTGACTTATTCATACGACGTAAAATCCCGACGTCACCTTGGTCATTCAGCTGACGTAAAAATATGTCACTGAATCATCTGCTTGCCTGAAATACGGCAAAGTACTGTGTGATTCAATATTTTCTGAAGGGTATACATGAAAATAGGTCAGGGCCGTAAAAAATAGTGCTCATACTTCCTCGATAGTGGGATGTCATATAACTATTACTCGTATGTGTTTGGATCCACTTCTAAATTGTTCCTTTCAGATACTATTATATAATGTATGTATCATAAGATCTTGAGCCTAGGAAGAATATATGTATCCATCTTGCGATATCAATATTCATCTCTGTGATTGTTGGTTTTATCTGTAACGCCCACTTATGCATGTATATCTTAGAGACAATGGCTCCATAGATATTTCTTTTCAAATAATATTGCTCTGTGTCTCTCCAGCTCAGCGGGATACTAATAGGCAGTCTTTAATAAAGTCTATAAACACGTTTCGTTGTTTTGAATATGAAAGAAAGCTGGTTGGTAGGTATGATTTATAATAAATAATAATATTGATGATTTGAATATAGCTAACGACATCCATATATTTTGAATAGAAAATTTTGAAAATATTAATAATTAACATACTTTATGTGTATTTACTATGTGATAGTTGAGATATTCAACTTCGAATTCGAGTTTTATGAATTCGAATTTGATAATATTAGTAACATTGTAGGATGAATAATTAGTATTTTAATTGATGACTTCGCAATTTGTCCAATGTAATAATCCTCTGGGAAACAGCAATTAATTCATGGAAGAATACTGGAATTATTTAATATAATATGCAGATAATAAAACGAAATAAATAATGATTGATTACCGTTGTGTAATAGTGAACCTGTGAAGTTAATATACGGTAGCTCGGTAGCAATTGCAAATCGCTAATTATATCCATCACAGTTTTTCATCTCAGCTTTACCAGCGCATAGCAGCCTTATAAATAACCAAGACAGAATAAAACGATAAATTACTAAATAATTAGTTTTCACACCATTTTTGTGTAACCTAATTAGATGAACTATTTATGTGTTCTTCACATTGACAAATGAAAAATACAAGGAAAGATAAGACAATTTATCGAGCTATAGAGGGAATACGTTTAAGGAAACTCATTAACTGTTGAAACAGATACAGGGTGCCTCATATTTCACTTCCCACGCTATCTATTTTTCATCATGTGTAATAAAACTTGGATTTGATTTGGAGCATTTTTATGCAGGCTGATTCATGGAAACTCTTGGTAAGTTAAAGTGGGAGAATGACTTGGTGAACTTCTTTGACATAGGTATCGCCGAATGAATGAGAATGAGAAACTCTTCAGCTGAAATATTTGCAAACTGTTAGGGCTTCCGCTCATACCGGGGGCTACAACTTAGTTATTTCGAATGGAACACCTTGTAGTTGCAATTTTTTTGGGAGACCATTGAAAACAAGACTTGTATACTTAGTATACAATGCTCGTTTAAAGTCCGTTCCCCACTACTAATTCTTGAATCACCTGGTATATCGCAACGAAATTCGGAAGACTCAAATAGGAGATGAAAACCTACTTTTTATGAAAAAACGACATCTCGAAATTTCAAAATAGCGGCTAAACGCCATCTTGATTATATTTTTTGAATGGAACACCCCCCCATATTATTTTCGAAATCTCATAATTGGTATATTCATTTTACTTGATTTTTTGGGATTTTTTCTCCTCGTTTCTATAAAATAAAAATATGTGTATTATTTCAATATATTTGTAGTGAGACAAATCAGATGATTTGACATCGACTTTTTCGTTTCTTGAATACATTTTCCGTCTCTATTGATAATATGCAATTTTAATCAACACACAAATGAAGAAGAAAAATTGTTGATGCAATCGATTAACTGTCAAACAAATAAAACATTTTGTGTAGGTACACCGCCTACTAAGTGAAATAATGATGAAAAAATAGACTGATAGCCCTGTGGATCATCGTATAAGAGGAACAATCTTAGTTTTATTGTTCCAAATGGGAAGATCATGTGATAGGTACATGGCGAAAATAAAAGACAGATAGTTTCTGTACGAGTAGTTGAATTCGAAATAATATGTTCCTATCTTAGATTCCTCAATATCATGACTTATTTTCGAAGGTTTTCATTTTGACTCAAACAAGCTATTGACAACCTGCAGACATTGATCAGAATATCAAAACATTTTGAATAATATCGGTTTACTAATGATCTTCAAATTTCGAAGCCTACCAAGTGTCGATATATCAACGAATTCATGTCACAGCCAACTTATTCTTTTTGAATAAAAAGCAATTCAACAGCGAATTAAGAAATAAATGCCACTTTGTGATACATGGTTGGATAGAGAATTTCAAGGCGAAAAAGATAGACTGAAGAAATGTACAGGGTGACATTTAAAAAAAAAGTTGGGGTCACTTCCGGTCAAACAGGTGGTTGAAAAAAATTGTCGTTAAGTTCGTAAAGTGCGCTACCATTTATTATATAACCCCTGTGAATTTCAAAATTTTATCTCTTCAAATAAAAAAACTACAGGCTGCTACATGTCTCCTGTGTCACCCGGTATATATACTCCGTGAAAAAAATCAAAGTGATCATCACAATTATTCGTATACTGATTAAAAAACCATCGATCAATTTCACTTTAAATTCACGAAACGGATAATGTTCAACAATGCTGTGTCGAATGACGAAGGTCAGTGATCCGAATCGATGGAAGCTACATTATCAACATTTTTTTCTTTATTTAACAATTCCTCCTTTGTGGATAGTCGTGTACCAACTCAAAAAGTGTATCAAATGCTTGAGTTAGCTATGGTCATAAGCTATGCAAACACAAAAAAATAATTAACTTCTTTCTTATATTAGATTCCTTTCGCTATAGAGAAAAAATGACTCATTGTTCGTCGGTTTGTGTTTGTTTGTGATACTAACACAAAAAGTAGCAATTGAACCAGTCGAGGTGTTGAGAATATCCATCAGACTTGAGGTATATTGTTAATCATAGTTATATACCAAAGTAACGGTCAAGAAAATAGCGGATCATTTATTCAAGACCTCCAAGAAAAATGGTTGAGCCTATACAGGGTGTTTCTCAAAGACATGCTAATTTTTGAAGGGGTGATTCTCTGACTCATTTTAAGAAGAAAACGTATGTCCTAAAAGTCTCAACTTTTGAGATACAGGGTGATGAAGTTTTGAAAAATATTCAGTTTTTTGATGATAACTAAGACAATATTGTATACATCTTTTTGAAATTTGGTACACGTCTTTTATGCATCAAGGTGCATTTTCTGATGTACAAAAATTTTCATTTTCTCTACCAGTGGCACCGTTACGGGAAAATATTGTTTATATTTTACTTAAAAGTGAGCAACGATGAAAAATTTTCAAATTTCATACAATGCTATAAAAGGCTATTTAATTATGCACAAAAAAGATCCTCTTGTTGATACTCGATAGAACGCTTCGTTTTCGAGAAAAAACGAAAAATCGAGACCAGACTTCAAATTTCAAAAGCTGTACAGGACAAAAATAATCTATGCATATTTTCAACATTGACACCCTGTATTTCAAAAGTTAGGACGTTCACGACATAATATGTTCATATGAAGTTTTATTCTTGAAATGGGTCGAAGAATCGGCATATCATTAGGAAACACCCTGTATAATAAGTATACGATTCCATTGATATGAAGAAACTTGATTCAAAATAAATTTGCAGCAATGATTCAGTTTTGTTATTTAAATATAGTCGATTATAAATAAATACAA